TGCTCAGGCCCACAAGAGGCGACAATATTGAGGTTAAGTGTTTAGCTACATTATAAGTAACTGAGTCTATACTGCTGACTATGGGTCGTAGCGGGACGTTTTCTTTGTGGATTTTTGGTAGACCGTAGATTAGCGGGGTGGCTTCGCCTGGATAAAGTTTGAAATAAAGTTGCTGGTCAATTAGTTTCTCTTTTTGTAACTTTTGTAGGCTTTTGACAATTTTGTTCTTGTATGTATTGGTTGGGTCGCCTTTTAGTCTTTTGTAGGTTTTCGTGTCGCTGAGCAAGTTTGAGATCTTGGCATCGTAATCTGCAGTGTTTAGTATAACTGTGCATCTGCCTTTGTCTGCTGGTAATATTGTGATGCTATCTTCTTTTTGGAGTTCTACTAAGGCTTTTTGTTCTTCTACTGATATGTTTGAGGGTGGCGGTTTTGCTGTTTTTAGCGAGGAGGCTACACTCAGGCGAATATCATCTGCTTCTGCTTTTGATAACTTGTTATTTTTGATCGCTGTTTCTTCCGCTGTGATGTAGTCTGTTTTTGGTATGTTGTTAGGTGTAACTGAAAAGTTCAGGCCTTTGGCAAGCACTGTTTTCTCTGCTTCTGATAAGTCACGATTAGATAAATTCTTAATCCATTTTTCCTCACAAGGGATTTCTTCAATTTGGTCTGATTTGGCCCTGTATTTACTTGGAGTGGGTTCTTTGAGCTTTATCAAATTTTGGAACTTTTTAATTTGCCGTTTTTTGGAGATTTCATGCTGTTTTAGTTGTGAGGATTTGGTGAATTCTAAAATATTTTGGAAAATCTCTTCTGACACCATTTGTTTCAATTTTTGTCGAATCTCTTCTGCTCTTTTGTTAAGATCTTTAATATTTGCATTTAATTGTCTGATTCTTTGGTTGAGAGTTTTAAGGACATAATTCAGTTGTAAATTTTTGGCTACGTACCCTGGCTCTAACGCTTTTTGGTTGAGGCATTTAGGTATTTGTTTGTTCTGTCTGCATCAAAGGTTAAATCTAAGATGGTTCCTAGAATCCGCAATTTTCTTACCAATCCTCTCGAGGGCGTGCCTCAGCTGGAGGGAGTCTTTCCCAACATTGACCGGAAGATGCTTATGGAGGCTTTCAGTCGTACAGGAACACATAACGACTGACGGAACCCTTTCTACGATGGAACTTAAACTAATTGACCAGCAACTTTCCTGTACGACTGAGAGCCTTCACAAGTATCTTGCGTTTTTTTGTTTTTTACCCACAGGTACAGATGATGACTGACGGAACCCTTTCTACGATGGAACTTTGATGTACGACTGAGAGCCTCCACAAGCATATTATTATTATTATTATTATTATTATTATTATTATCCAGTGATGACAACCATACGTGAATGAGGTCATCCCCGACTTCATAGTGTGAATTCAAGCATAAAGTTCATTGTAAAACTCGCTTCATCTTTATGAAACAGCCAGGATCTTCACATGCATTCTAGATTAATTGATAGACTATTATTAATACAGGGTCAGGCAAAATGATCTGACACATTTATATGTTTAATAAAAGGGAAGTAAAGTAAAGAAACAAAATTTTTTTTTATTTTCAAAAAGTACATATAATGTCATTTTTTTCATATACAGTGATCCCTCGCTCTATCGCGGTTCACTTTCCGCGGCTTTGCTGTTTCACGGATTTTTTTTTGTGCCATTTTTTTAATGCTTTTAACCCTTTAAATCAGAACGCGTCTGCGACGCCGCGTGTCGACAGTACAGTATTTCCAAAAACTATTATAGTTATTTGTTGAAAACGTTTGTTTTTTTGTAATTGGGCCTGAAAACAGGTTTTAGTCTTTGATTTCATTGAATATATAGTTAAGTATTGTATAATAACTACTTCACGGATTTCACTTATCACTGGTTCTTTTTGGAACATAACCCCCCCCCCCCCGTGATAAACGTGGGATTACTGTAATGCCATTTTGCTTTGTTTCTTTATAATGCCATTGTTTTTCGTTTCTTTTTCAGTTGCTGCCATGAATTGGACTGGTGAGCATCACACTTTCATTGTGGAAACGGTGATCAAAACAAACGAATCTGTAACTGCAACTCAAGCGTTCCATTTGCACTTAAATTTTGGTAGACATGATCCCGTACCAGCTCGAAACACGATCTTGTTATGGGTTACCAACTTCAGAGCGACTGGATCTGCAGTGAAACGAAAATCAACAGGCCGACCTTGCACCGCCAGAACTACACTTAATTTTTAAAACATAATGAAAAAGAATGGCATTATATGTACTTTTCAAAAATAAAGACACTTTTTTGGTTTCTTTATTTTATTTAAGGCCAAACAAAAAAGATAGTGTGTTTCCGGGAACAAGAAATTTCAGTTTCAAGTTTTTTTTTTTTTTTAATCTTTTTTTTTTTTTCCCATTAAAAATTTAAACAAAATAACCATAAAACAAGAAGACATTGAACCCGCCGCTCCGCGACCGGCGCCGCCTATTTAGTTTTCTCCCCGCTCCGGACTCGGGGGACGGGGCGCGCCGCCGCCTCCGCCATCCTCCTCCGCCATCCTCCTCCGCCCTCGGTTTTTACTCGGCCCATGGTGTTCATCAAATAGTTCGCTTTATTTTTTCGATACATCAATGGATACTATTTTCTTAACATTACGGTGCGAGGACGCGACTGTAACACAGAAAACGCGGTTTAAACTGTCGTCGGAGATCGCGGCCGCCGCCATGTTTCAATGTTGTTGACAGACGACAGGGCAAACGACGCACTCGCTCAACGTGAATATAGAGAGAGTTTGCACCAATGTAAACCCTCTACACAAAAATGTAGAGGGTTGTTTGAAAAAAATGCTGACCGTAAAGTTTTTTTTCGACGTAGAAATTCTCGGTCGGTCGGGTTACCGGAAACACTACTTTTTTTCTACGCCTAACCGACAAATGTGTCAGATCATTTTGCCTGGCCCTTGCAGTATGGGACCTTCGTCTGTTAGCTTTTTCCTCATGCTGCTTTTAGTCTGGACTCCACCAAGGCTCCTCTATGTCACCCGTTCTGTTCGGAACCTTTATGGACAGAATTTGTAGGCACAGCCAAGGCATTCAGCGGGTCCAGTTTGGTGGCCTCAGTCTTGTGTCTCTGCTCTTAGCAGATAACATGGTTTAAATTTTGCACGACGACGATCTCCAACTCTCACTGGAGCAGTTCGCACCCGTGTGTGAAACGGTTGGAATCAAAATCGGCACTTCCAAATCAGTCGGAAAAGTTTGGAGTGCTCTTTCTAGGTTGGGGATGAGATCCTGCCCCAAGTGGAGGAGTTCAAGTGTCATACTGTAATGGGTAAAATGTTCTGCTTAAAAAGAAATCACACACATACCTGACTCCTTTGCAACTTGCAATCTGGCTGGCCAGTCATCGAGGTGACCCAAACACTTGGATAAATAGGTCTGAATGCTGATGCAGTCTAATGGGAGGACGCGGTTCTCTGATCCAACACGAAGAATTGGGTTGACAACAAAGTAGCCTCCTCCAGATTTCTCTGCATCTCTGTGTGTGGGGGGGAAATATTTTTCTCTTAGAGTGTAACCTCCATAAATTCTTAAAACATCAAGAGGTAACTGGCACAAATTGATGCCAGTAAAGCTTCATATTTACGATTCATTGCTTCAGCGCTTCAGAGATATGAGAGGAAAAAATATGTGATGTACAAAAAAAAAAACCATTCCATTTTGTGAAGAAGCACACTATTCGTTGACTTGTGCTAAAGAAGAAACAAGAATAGATCATGAGCAGCAGCTTGCATATGCTGTAGTCGCCACCAATTTATAAAATGACAGTAGACACTATATTTTTTCAATGACAGCAGAGATTTTCTTTTGTCCCGGTATGTTCGCATCATCGCCGAACACATTGTCTCACCCAGTGAAATCTGTACCCCTGTTAGACAAACATGAATGTTCATTTAATAAAATCTGTTTGACTTAGTCTGCACTATTCATAAAATCAAACTAACCAACAAATGTCAATGAATGCTCATTTCCCCTGACCCAGCTACGATTTGAGTTAAAAAAAAATGTTTGGCTTGCATTTAAAAATTGTCAAAGATCTCCATCCATCCATCCATTTTCCGATCTGCTTTATCCTTACAAGGGTTGCAGGGGTGCTGGAGCCTATCGGAGCCGTCTTTGGGCAGTAGGCGGGGGACACTCTGAACCAGTTGCCCGCCAATCGCAGCGCACACAGAGACGAACAACCATACGCACTCACACTCACACCAAGGGACAATTTAGAGTGTTCCATTAACTTGCCACGCATGTTTTTGGAATTTCGGAGGAAACCGGAGTACCCGGAGAAAATCCACGCAGGCCTGGAGAGAACAAGCAAACTCTACACAGAGAGGCCGGAGCCAGATTCGAACCCAACACGTCAACCACAGGACCACCAGACCGCCTGTGCAAGATCTCACAATTTATTTGGCATGTATTCACATAGCAGCTGTGAATTGGGGATCACACCCCGCACTGTGAACGTAGCCTTAAACCGCATCTATCAGACCACAACATTTAGCTGCCAGGATGAAAATTAAATGAACATGTAATATTCTTCACCTTGCCCTTCAGTATATTACGCGGACTGCTTTGATTTCCATGGAGGACTTCGAAATCAGCGGTAAATGTTGCGATTGTGGAATAGTGGAGTGATGGGCGCGACTAATTAGGGCGGCAATCTACTGTATATGCAATTAATTACACGCCGTACCACCAAAAGACTCATTGTTATCTCATCATTCTTCAGCAGACTGCCCCAGGTTACACATTTTCGCACTCTCACACACACTCACACTGTGATTCCTTTTAATAACCAAATTAAGGTCAAATATGGTCAACTATTTATATTTGTCACTCAGCGGATCCAATGGAATAAGGACTTTTCCTTGCCTTATCAATAATCAATAATTTGGGGCATTGGCTAAAAGTTGATCAGGATGGTAAACAACTGATGCTGCAATTTAGTCATGAATAAAATGCATCATTTGTATTGTGACAGTTAATTTAAAGTGGAATCTTACCCAAATCCAAAGCAGTACTGATAAGAACCGGCCACCTTGATATCCAGAAGGCAAAACTTGTCAGAGTCATCCTCACGTCCTGTTGGGTTGTTCCAGGTTAAAACCCGGAAAGTGTTTCGTTCAAACCGCTGTCCTTCAGGCGGGTAGTTGGTTTGCACTGTAACTCTCCTGCCCTGAAGACTTGGACCCAGACGGAACTGGAGCTCAAAACCTGAGGAAGTAAAAATATATTAACTCTCTGGAAGGATAGGAACGTAAATCGACTGGTAAATCGATGGCTTTGCCCTCTGGCTCAGGTCCCTTTTGACCATGACTGACCGATAATATCCGCAATATTGCCGCCGCTGCACCAATCCACCTGCAGATCTCCGGCTCCATGGTCTCCTTACTCGTGAACCAAAGGCGAAGATACTTTCACTCCACCACTTGGGGCAGATCTCAAGCCTGACATGGAGAGGGCACTCAAGTCTTTTCTGACTGAGAACCACGGTCTCAGATTTGGAGGCGCCGATTCTCACCCCCCCCGCTTCACACACGTCTGTGAACCAGTGATGTGTTCCTCGAGCCGGTCCTTGGCCTCGAGGACCGGCTCGAGGACCGAAGGTCGGTCCTTGGTCCTTGGCCTTGGCCTCGGGAGTCAAGTCCTTGGCCTTGGCCTTGGCCTTGGGAGTCAAGTCCTTGGCCTTGGCCTTGGCCTCGGGTTGCCGGTCCTCGGACACAATGAGGGATTAGAGTCTCGAATCCCTTGTCCACAGGTATAAAGTGGGTCTGAGGACCGCAAAAATCACGAAGGAATCAAATAAATTCCATCCAGGGAAACCCATATTGATGGATTAATCTGGCACTTTAAGAGGGGCAGGTCTGCCACTGACAGGTGACAGTTAGCGCAACGTATTAAGAACGGCATCACAGTTAGTTTCAATCACGGTTTGTTCCGTTCGCGATCGGCAGTTTAAATAGCGTGTAAAGTCTTTCTGTAACAGTGGTGTCTTTTATGTAGTTATTTTTGCACAGTCGTCACGTTTCTGCAGTGGCACTATAATGTTTGTTTGAACCAAGTAATTTGC